TGTCCCTCTTGTCCCCATTACTCTGTCCACTATGTCCAACATAATCACTCAGCTTTACTGATGAGGAAGCCACTTATCTGCTTCAAAACATCCAGTATGAACAACTTTCTTTGAAAGAGCACAGAAATTCTCCCCCAGATCACACCTCAGTGTCACTTATCCAACAGGGTAGCCACACTCAGCTGGATGCCCTTGAGACATTACTCAGCTTTCTTCAAAAATTGCTAATGGCAAGAACTGTGATAAAATACAGAACACAGACTAAGACCATCAGTCTAGACCAAATAGGAAAACAGGATGCTAATGACTTGTATCACTGTCTTACCTGGAAATCAAATTGGTGATCTCTAACATATGAATAGTTTTCTTTCATTAGAGTTCACCTGAATCACCCAGGGTCTACTTACAGCATTTAATTTTTTATTTTTACTTTTTTTTTTTATTATATGGGGGTTTTGTGGGGTTTTTTTTGCAATCTTCCAAAGAAACTGAGCAACAGAACTTTGCATTCTCTAAAAGTAATGTTTTTAATGCCTACTTAACTGATTCAATACACACAGTTCTTAAATGAACACTAGGACTGTATTTTCCTATAGAAAAAGATGAAGCTGCATCATTTAAAAGTATGTTGGAAAGAGGCGAAACATTAACCTAATTTCAAAAAAGTGCTATGAGAAAGCTTACCTGGTTCCTAATATATATTCACACATGTAAAATTAATTTAAAGATACTCAGACAAGATGTTAACCTACCCCACAAACCCACAGGGGATTCTCTACCGAAATCAAGACACAGAGTTTAAGAACAGTCAGAACCTGTCAAAATACTTTTTGTTTGTGTCTTTTTCTGCTAATGCTAATCCTCTGATATTCCATAAGCTTTTTGCCTTTTGCTGGCCTAGTGGCAGAGAGAAACAATATGCTAAAGCTTTCCCTTCTCCTACAAATTTCATGATTTGACCTGTCAGACCAATTGTTCTTCAAGACATTTCACGAATTTCCCTGTAACTCCACTTTCCCAAGACAGGCTCTTGGGAAACTGACCTCTTTTGCACCACGTACTTAGACTAGAGAGAGCTTTTCTTACTAGTGAGATTGATTGTGCAGTATTGTCAGACTACACAAGCTTTTATTTCTGAATAAGCTGGCCTATGGCATCCCCACAAGCTTACATCTCAATCTAACAGCTCACACTGACTCGGGTTGCAATTTGTGTGATTTTGTGTTCTATCAGTTATGAACTCCCATATTACATGTACAGGCAAATACACAATAAAAGACTTAAGCTTTCTGAAGCCACCTTACAGGATGTTTCCATAAACACATTGTATGCTGCACAAATTATTCAGATCAACTCTTCTTTGTTAGAGAAATTCCAATGAGCTCCCAAAAGCAGAGACAGTCTTTGCTGTCTGTATTCTGCTTCTAACAAAGGCAGCTTTGTTCCCTCAGAAATGGCCTTGTCATGCATTAGAAGCCTATCTTGGTGTTTCTGGAGAGTTTCCATTAAACATGTTCTAAGTCAAAGTTCCTAGATATAAGCTTTAAGCAATTTTGACTAAAAGGTAGTATTTTTATCAGTTCACGTTCTTCAGCTCACCAAACTTTTGTCTGAGCAACCAAAACCACTGATAACTACACTCGTACTCAAGACTGTATTTTTTAGTAAAGGAAAGGCTGCTTAAAATACAGCATAAGGGGACAGATCCTCAATTTTATTACAATTTTATAACAAAAGGATGGATTTTGCTACCTTGAAAGACCTTGAAAATGGGAAGCAATAGTTTGGAGATACCAAGAAAGAGGCTTCTGTTTCAAAATAATTTCCATTATTTACACAAATAAGATTGTAGAAAGCCAACACAAAATTTTGGTATAGTTTAACAGTATTACATAACTCAGGAAACAAAATATGTTTTCATTTAAATTTAAGAAGGAGTTATGAATTCTGTTTTTACTCCAAGTTATAAAAAAACAAGTTCTTAAACCATTTGACTTTCCACACAAGAAAGAATAAGATTATAATTTTAGGCTAGTGTGGTATTTTTCCATTCTTTCTCCCCCCCCCCCCCCCCTTCCTTTGAAGACTATTAATCAAAAGGGTTATAAGAATTCCCCTAAAAATACTGCTCTCCCCACCCCCATCTCTGCTTTAAATATTTTAAGTGAGAAACTGGATTTAATGATTTGGAAGGCTTATTCAACACAGGGAAAAACACGGGGGAAAAAAAACACACACACCCCTATGCATACAGCTGTACTAGTATAGTCAGCTGTGTCCTACAGAAGCAACCCAAAGGAGAGGCAAAGACTGCAGGCTAATGAAGCCTTTGATTTCTATTAAGCTATCTAAAAAAGATGGCAATTACCCTCTAATACATGACGATTCTGTGACATCAACACTTGTCTAGCAAAAAAAAGGCTCACGATACTTTACAATTCACATTTTACATGAAATGTAGGAGAAGCCTTTAAAAAGTACTACTGCTTGAAAATAAGGACTTTGATAACCTGCACCCCCTGACAACACTGCTGTCATAAAACTCTCATTCCTGTGGTGGCTGTGGATTCAGACAATATCCAACTTCTGGCAAAAGACCTCAATTATAAGAATGAGAGAGAAACAAAAGGCAACAGGGGGATGAAGAAATGAAGGTATACTGAATAAGTCCAAATGTACACCTATTATATAGCTCCTAAATTAGGTTTGCACTTGACACAATACATTAGACTCTTACATGTATGCCCCATGAAACAAATCTTATTACTGCATAAACTTCAGAAGAAAAAGTCAAACCGCTGCACAACTGATGTAAAAATCCACAGACTTTGTGGGGCTTCAGAGAAAGAGAAGCCAAGAAAGGACACTACCGTGACTGGGAACATGAAACTTGAGAAGTTCCACAAAGCTAAATGTGGGTTTAATGCTGAAGAATTCAGAACATCACAATTTCTAGAAGAAGGAAACAAAGGGGACAAAAGAAAAAGGGAACAAAACAAAACAAAAAAACCCCCCCCCCCCCCCCCCCCCCCCCCCAAAAAAAAAGCTGAACGGGTGGGAAGGACTGACTCCAAAGATATTCCTAGCCTGACAGATTCCTTATCCAACCATTAGCCCCATTTCCAAAAGAAGGCTAGTATTTTTCTGTTCCATAGGTAGAGAAAGAGATATTTAAAGTTGTACAGTGCTACAGTTAAGATCAATCAGTATCTTAAATAGGCCATGTGCATCCTTTAGCCATTGTGCTTGATTTCAAGCTGGAAACAAGGTATAAGAAAAGAAGCATAGACATTTTTAATTTTAGTTATGTAGACCACAGTAATTCACCTGCTGATATTGCTATTAACCAGGCTAGGATAACAAACAAACTATAACAAAGCAAAGCCTCATTAAACAACTTTTTGAAATAGACCTTTAAGTATTCGTAACCCTTAAGTACACTGTGAGTGCATGTACACATGCTTGTCCTGTATTAAGTAATGCTAGCAGTAATTATCAGCAATCATAAAACAGACTTTTCAGCATTCGTATTGTGCAAGATCTGCCAACATTTCCTTTTCATTAGGCACTATTTGTATTGTAACTTTTTTCTTGTTATTGACTTTGTACTGAAGAAAGTTACCAAAAAAAAAAAAAAAGCACAGCAGATCATCTTTTTAACAGAAATACAAGTCTCTGTGTCAGGTACTATGGCATGCACAGCACTGTTCATAAACAGTAAAATGCCTATGTTGTTTACATAAAAGATAACCACAGTCACACAGTATGCTGCACATTGAGTACTCAGTACAAAGTAAACAGTGATTCATCTGATTAAGGAAAACACTGGCAAGAGTCAGTTCTTAAGGGCAAGTATGAAACTCTTGCTCAATTTTTTAACAGTTTAATAAGGGCAGACTAAGCTTAATTTGATAGACTGTAAAGACTAAGTATGAATGCTTAATGTATCAACATTTAGCTTAGGAACTGTTTAGATTTGAAGGATTAACCTGCTTATTTCTACTAAAATACACTATGTTCTTTCCTTCCCTACCAGTTTTCAGGGAAACTAATACCATGCCTATCCCCATTAAATGTGAGCTCAAACATAGTGGCAATGTGAGTCTGTCAAACTCATGTGCATGTCCACTGTTACTCATGTTTTCCATCTTCAAACATTTGGAAGAAATGGTTACCACTCTAAAATGGTTAACTGAGATTCCAACAAGAAACCTGCTTTTATGTTCAAACAGGTATTAAAATAATAGTCTGACATCTCTAGTTCAGCTTACCTGTAAGCTCTCCTTACTAAATCAGTACAGCCAGAAAAGTAAACAACTGTTCAACTTTAAAGATAGAGTGTGTTCTGGCAAGAAAAGTCAAGATTTTTCCAAATAAAAGCAAGATGCCTCAGAGAACAAGAGCAAAGGTAAGGCATAGCCTGTCTCTGCAAATACTACCACATATCACAGATAGTACTAACCAAAGCTCTACTATTCAAGGACCTACCTGTGAGATATGTAAGGAAAATACAATCCAAATAAAAAGGGGCTTACGGATATTACAAAACCAGAATCTATGGTTAGCAAAATAAAACCTTAGCTGTTTGTATTACATGAAATGATTCTTTAGCACTGCAGAGCACATATATTTTGGTGCTCTCAAAGAACAGAGAATCAAATTTCATTCTGATTTATTTACAGCTTATAAAAAACTACAACTCTGCATATTAACACGTGCAGCATTTGACATCTCATTCTTAAATTGTCAGGCCTAAATTTTTGCTGAATTTCCTACCTTGCAGCTGTTCCTTCATTTTGTGGTAACACTAAAGATATTACTTTGTATACATTTCATTACCTGCTTGAAAGATATTTTGACTACCACTAATCACGCCTCAGGTACAATTAAAAAAAACCAGTATTGTAAATACATTTATAATTGCTAAATTTTTAATTTAAATTTATAATTTTAAAAATGCGTAATTTTTTAAAAATGTAGAAATGCATTGCTACACTTACTTTTTGCTTGCTTCGTAAACATCTGTGATATTGGAGAAAAGGTGATGGCTCTCTGTTTTGGTCATTGTGAGGCTCAGTTCCCTGGAATTTTTAAACATCCGGATCAGAATCTCCAAGCTCAGCAAATAAGAATGCTCGGAAGATATCACTTCAAATATCGCCTGCAAAGTGGAGGGAGGAGAGAAAAGACTTACTATTGACTAGGCGCTTTTTTTTTTTTTAAAGGAAAATGTGGAGGAAGGGTGCAAAGCAAAAGTTATTGGATGTAAGCTAGAGATTGTAACATAAATATTCATTTCCATGATAGTTACACCATTTACTTCAAATAAGTGATGTAATATTAGAAAAAAAGACTTTTAAAAAAAGTCTATATTCAGACTTCTCAATGCAACTGCAAAAAGTTAAAATGAAAAACTTAACTATTTTCACATTTTCACAACTATTTTCACTCCTCATTCATACTCCTGAGAGGTGGGTTTTGTTTTGGGTTTGTTTTTTTTTTTTAATTAAAAAAACCCAAAACAAAACAAAACAAAAAAAC